GTGTGTTTCGTTGTGAAAGCAAAACTACATTGTTTGGCCTTCCAAAAGAGGACGATATCTGCTTCGTCATGTCTAGAGCTGATCCGTGCTGGTCGCTGAGGAAATACAACAACTTTGTGCTGTGGATCACCAGATCGGCTTTCACCATGGACGAAGCGGAGTCCAGCCCAGGGTCATCACATGTGGTTGCTGCAAGCCCTCCGGACACTCCTTTGTTGAATCCGCCGGCAGCGCCGTTCCTAAGCCTGCCGGCCTCTGCTCACTCTAGCCCTCTGGCCGTTCCTCACTCAAGCCCCTGGCCTCTGCTCACTCTAGTCCACCATGTGTGACGCTGTGGTTCGTTGTGAAAGTGAAACAATTTTGTTTGGCATTCCAAAAATGGACATGACTAGAAATCAGTGGTTAAGTTGCATTTACAACACTGTTCCAGAACACTTCAACCCAAATATTCAGATGTGTGCAGCACATTTTATGGAGGACTGTTTCCTGGTAGAGTAGACTACAATGCCGGCTGTTCTGACTCAAAGACTGTAAGTATATTTTTTATATTTAAAGCGAGTTTTTTGGGCAGTGTAGAGTAGGGCTTGTTGTTTGTCATTTCTCCGATCACAAATGCATACATGGTTTTATGTTTACGTGGCGCGATGCAACGCAACACGTAAAAAGACAGTATAAGTCATTTTAATCCATAATTATGTCCCCACTGGATGCAGCGAATGCCTCGTTTATAATGGGTTTTCATGTTTTTGAATCATCGCTCCGGCCGGACAGGGCATCATCACAGTATGGTAGTGGCGTAACATTTCCGTCACACGCTTGAGGTATTCGGCCAATCACAACGCACTGGATTGCTGGCCAATCACAGCACACCTTGCTTTTCAGACCGATGAGCTTTGTAAAAATCAACACATTTCAGAAAGGCGGGGCATAGAGGAGAAACAATAATGTACAGTATGTGGAAAATAATGTGTTTTTTGAACCATAAACCGCATAAACATTTCGTTACACCAAATAATGTTCTTTTTAGCAACATCATATGAACCCTTTAAATTAGTGACGGTGCTCTCAAGTGTAAGCACCAACAAGCAATGTAAAGTGAGTTAGAGCCTTGCATGATTTACAAGTCATTACTTTTACAAATAATTGCACCAGCATTTTAATATATTGACACAAAAATTCATGTATTTTCTATTAATAAAAGTTTTTTTTTTATAGTGTGAATTATACTGGGTGACACTTTCCTGTATTCTTTCCTGTCAGTCACAGCACAATTTAATTGATTAGAACTGTGCAACCCAATAACTAATTTCCATATTTTAGACTAAGGTCTAAAAAGTGTTGTGGGGTACAAAGAGTAGATGGTTCTAGTAATGGCAATCATAGGATAAACTAATAATGTATACCTTGCAATGTAAATAAAAAATGCCTGCCAAATTTGTAAAAAAAAACTTTACCCTTTTCTTATGTCCATCAGTACATGAATTAATATCTTATGCCCTGTTTAGCTTCTGAAAAAAAAAAACATGACAGGTAAATGGTAAGTTCATATCTAAGTCTTGATTGACTTGATTATTGTTTGACATTCATACTGTTAGCTGAATATATGATGCCTATGGCAACCACATTTAGTCTAGATTAGTCTACCACCATCCTGATATAACAGTTCTTAAGATCCATGTGACTAAAGCAGTCGGTGTTCTTTATTTTGAATTATGCATAATGTTTATATATTGCAGCATCTAATAAAACAACTTTCAAAAAAGAAAAAAACATAGCCAGATCAGAAAAGTCACCATGAAGCCATTTTAGTAACTGTTTTACACTTTTTACTTTCATCACATGATGAAACACGATTAATTTTTTTAAATATTTGTAGAGAAAGAGTTTAGACAGTAAATAAGACATTTCTTCTTAAAAAGAGATTCTTCTTAAAAAGAGGAACAATAATAAAAATGTCAGCATAGTGCATGAGAATTTTCATATATTAAAAACATTTTTTCTTTTCTGTAGATTGTAGCAGACTGTAATGTACATCAACTATGTAAACTAATTACCTTCTCTGTGAAAATACAAAAAAATAAACCAAAAGTAATGATTACACAGAGATTAACACCTTAGACCTCTTGTTTATGTGGTTTCATGTCTTCTTACCACCTTCTTGGCCCTACTTGCGCACTCACAATAGTGAGAAACAGCTTTTGTTTCATTCATCGGCTCCATCCTTTGGTTTCATTTATACTTGCTCAGATTCCTTCTCCACATTCCTATATACTGTATGGATACTTGGGGTGGGGAATGTGTATGATCACTTTTATTGACTTGGGAGTTTTACAAGTAAAAAATAGGCTTAGTTACACACTGCAAATAGAAAACAGAATAGTCACAAACCCCACCCCAAAATCAGTGGTCCATTCTCCTAACTGTTCTTCCCCTTTTTGTTTGGCTTCTTTGCATTCTTTTTACTTACATTCTTTACCTTCATTTCCTTTCACACTGCTCTCGTATTCAGGCATACATTAATGCCTGTAAAAATCCACCATAGAGATTAATTGGTCCTGCTATGTTACCGTAGTTTTTACAGTGCTACCAACAGGGAGGAGTTCTACAACCTGGAAGGTAGCATGGCTTCGGTCTAAGACAGAGGACACATAAATAAAATAAGAATATTTATAATTTCCAAATACCAGTGACATGCATTCCCACGATGAATGAGAATCAGTTACACTAAACCAGTGTACAAAAAGTGCAATATGCCGATCTGTACATAAAGACTTTTTTTTGGTATTTTATATTTCAAAATTGCTTAAGCAGCTTGGGCCTAGGATTTAAAGCCTGGGTTATCTGCAAAATAAAGCAAAAACTCAAGGGTTATTAAATCATGTGTACATATTCATTCATTTGTTTTCTCAGAGTTCTCGGTCTGTACGTCCTGTCCAGCAGTTTGTACAGTCTCTGTTTGCACATGCTCAGTCTTGGCTACAGATTGGGCCTCTGCAGAGTTCTGAGCAACGCTCTCAATCTTAGCGTTGGGTTTCTTAGCAATTGGTGGAGGAACTTTGTTAGCCATCTTGTGTGAGTCATTAGACTTGACTGAATCGGAGACAGAGGCTAACTCTGCCACTAGAGTTTTCCTCAGGTCAGCCTGAACCTCTAAGGATGACGGTGTCTCTATTACGACCTTCTTTGGGCTTTTGGAGAAGATGAAGCTGGCCATAGATGCAGGGGAGTTTGGTACAGTGGTGCCAATAGCTGTGGCTGGAGGAGGGGAGCGTAGACCAAACCGCTTGGCTTGGTTGTCTTTTGAAGACATTGTAGCAGCCTTTAGACGAATGGCTTCCTGGAGACGCATGGAGGGGTTCGCTGGTGAAGAGACTATGGGAGGTGTGGAAGAGACAATGGGCGTTGGTGTTTGGGTTTTTGGCTGCTCACCATCTGGCTTTGAGTGCATTTCAACGGTGCTTAATTGCTTCTCTGAATTATGCGGAGTCTTGTTGGGTTCTTGTGCCTGATGTTGAGTCTTTGGCTCAATGATTGATTTGTCCTTTGGTTCTGTTGTACTTGACAGGGTTTCCGGGTCAGGCACTGTAGGTTGAATTTGTTCCTTGAGGGTTTGGGGTTTGGGTTTGGTTTCAGCACAGGGTTGTTTATTTGCTGGTTCAGCAGGAACTGGATTCTTACTTGGTTCTGTAGGTGGACATGTAGCTGATGAGCTTTTAGGCAATGTTATTTGAGCAATGTTATTTGATTGAGTTTCTGGTTCAGATGATCCTTGCTGAGTATTTGATACAGTGGTTGTGTTTGTGTTGAGAGACGGAGCTTCAGTTTTTGGCTCTGTGTTGGAAAGAGCTTCCACATCAGGGGGCAGTGATGTCAAAATCAAAGATCGTCTGATTGGCTTTGGAGGCACCTCTTGATTGACACCTGATTTTGGTTTGGGTTGTGATGGTTTATCAGGATCTAGAGCAGGACTCTGACTGGACTTAACCGACCTAAGACGAACCATCTGTAGTAGAGACTGGGTGACCACAGGACCGGAGGTTTCCTCTTTGGCCGGAGAGGGACTGCTTGTCCATTTCTCCGTTTCTGCCATCTCTAGTCTGTCCTCCATTTTCACATTACTAGGTAGTGGAGGAGGAGGAGGAGGAACACTGACTTGTTGAGATCTTACATCAGTGGGTAGTGGAGGAGGAGGAGAAACAGTGACTTGAGATCTTACATCAGTGGGTAGTGGATGAGGAGGAGGAGGAGGAGAAACAGTGACTTGAGATCTTACATCAGTAGGTAGTGGAGGAGGTGGAGGAACGTTGATTTGTTGAGGAGGTGGAGGAACGTTGATTTGTTGAGAAGTTTCAAATGATGTTACCAACATATTGTGTGTCGAAGGTTGGGATTCTTGCGGACGGGATGAGATTTTCTGTGGTTCAGAAGGTGGTCTTGGTGGAGGTAGAACTTCCTGCAGTGGTGGTGGTGGAATATCTGGTGGTAATTGAGGCATTGTCAGTAAAGACTGTGGCGAAAATGGTGGGGGCGGTGGACGGAGGTCATTATCGTTTTGCACAGCGACAGGAGTTACTGTAGTCGTACCTACTGGAGGTGCCGGAGGAGGAAACAGAGGAGGTGGAGGGATCCAAGAAGTCAAGTCCTTTATTGCTTTGGCAGCTAGTGTAGGAGTTGAGGGAACAAAGTCCGGAGGGGGAGGAGGAAGTTTGGCTTGGCTGTTGCTCGGTATTGGTGGGCAATGCTCTGGGGGAGGTGATGGAGAGGGGGCGACATAGGCAAGCGGCACTACGGATTCAACTTTGCCTTTTATCTCTACTGGCTGCAACAGAGGTGCTACTCTGTCAGCATTTGCCAAAGCCACATCTGGTTCATCTGCAATTTTAAGACCTCTCTTTTTGGCCCAGCATGCATAGTTTACAGGTCCGGGCCCACACAGCAATTCAAAAGTCCGCTGGTTGTGAGCCCAGGTCTCAGGAGGAGGAGTCGGCGGAGCCAGTACTTTGGGACGGGTGGGAATCTCAAACAGAGACAACAGAGCCATTACAGCTGGTGAGGAATTGTTGCCATTGATTAAACTGTTTGCAGACAGAAGGGTGTTCTTAAGTTCAGCAAGCTTACCGGTGCCATGTGTGTATGATTGGGGTGTCCAAATGGAAGACACTTGAAGGTTACTTCTGTGTATCTTTAGCTGAGCTAACATTGTTTTCTTGTCTGTGGTGACTAGCTGGCTCTCCTTTGATGGGACAGTTGTGGGTTCATTGGAGGGAGGTATGCCTATCTTAGGGCTCAACTTGTGAGTGGTGGCCTTCATGACAACAGGGTATGGTGATCCATCTGGAGTGCTGACATCAGCCAAGTAGGTAGGACTCTCAGATGTCTTCCAGGTCTGATTTCCGTTGTGTAAAGAGTATGACCTGCTGGGAGGAGCTGGAGGTTTCTTGCCCCGTTTAATCACTGACAGGTTGCGTGTGAAAGCAGCAGCATATCCTGTCTTTCCGCTGTCCTCCTCCTCGGTAGAGCCCCCATTCACATGAGTAGTTTTAACATGGGAACCGTGGTTGTTCAGCTTGGCTGGTCTATTCGTGTTCCCATCCTGACTCCCTCTGCTGGCCACACGGGGAGTGCTACTGCTGGAGATGGTAGAAGAATCGGATACAAGCGTTTCTGATGATCCCGAGTGGGTCCATCCAGAGTAGTTTGAGCGGGTTGTGGAACAACGTGAAGAGACTCTGGAGGAAGCACGTGTGGATGCTGGACTGGCTGACACCAGGCTGCTTTTGCTGACGGTTCGGACACTGCTGCGACTTCGGCTGCGACTGAGCTCCACAACATCCACAGATGGTGGAAGTACAGCATTTGGAATGATTTTAGACATGTATGTGGCCTGAGGTGAGATGGACATCACTGCACCTGTTGGGTTCTCTGTCCAAGGAACACCTAGAATGCCTGCTCCTGACTTTTCTGGATCTACAGAATGGTTTATGAGCCTTTGGAGGACGTTATCTTTGGGTTTTGTCAGTGTGGGGAGCTCTGTGTTGTCTTTTTTAACTGTGTACAGGTTCTGTATGCCCTGTAGATGGTCTTGTACACTTTCTTGTTCAGAGCTGGAAGACGTGCTATCCACAGCGGAAATTATGGCAGGTATGATCATGTCTACATTCAACAGCTGACCATCAAGAGGATTTGTGGCGATCCATGCTGCCCTGTCCAACCCTTCAGATATGAAATATAAAAATAAATTGAACATATGTTTTCCACTAAATAACTCAAAGACTTGTTCTACACTATAGAAGACTGTAGCACAACATACCCAGTTCTTTCTGGACATGTCGAGGAATTCCTACAACAGTTCTCCCATGTTTCCTGCGAGACTTCGTCTTCTCTGCAGTTTTATCTGGCTTCAGAGGGCTGAATGTTGAGGCTGGAGAAAGGAAACAGAAAATGTTGCTGTGATGTGATAAGACTTCTTAAATAACTTTATGAGAATGTATCTTGTATGAAATGTACCAGGCCAAAATATTTTTATGTTTAAAAAGAATATGACTAATAATGTGTTTATCCGTGAAGTGTCACCTTGGCGTTTGAGTCCTGAGCGTGTTGATCGTGAGGAGATGGAGGAGCACATCGAAACAGAATCGGCAGCTGTGCTCTCAGACTCAAAGCCTCTCAGCTCACTGAAGGCCATGCTGTCTTCAGTCTGAGCTGTTACTGTTGACTAAAGGAAACAGTATAGTTAACTTTCCAAATATATATTTTTTCATCAGCAACTTAAAAGTAGTCAATGCATTTTTATTGCACTTATAGAACTACATATGTGCACAAGTAAAAACCAGGCTGCCAGTCATTATGGTGGGAACAGAAGTAAATGCATTCATAACCGGAATTGAGGGTTCATTGATGCATGGATGAACACTTACAATCATACTTTGGTCATCAGGGTAGTCCATCCCATTCCTATCATCTGGAATATAAAACATTACCCCTTATTAAACATTATCAAAAAAAATAAACTGCTGTATGTTTAGGAAATGCATGTGTTTGATTCATAGTTAACTTTCCAAATATATATTTTTTCATCAGCAACTTAAAAGTAGTCAATGCATTTTTATTGCACTTATAGAACTACATATGTGCACAAGTAAAAACCAGGCTGCCAGTCATTATGGTGGGAACAGAAGTAAATGCATTCATAACCGGAATTGAGGGTTCATTGATGCATGGAGGAACACTTACAATCATACTTTGGTCATCAGGGTAGTCCATCCCATTCCTATCATCTGGAATATAAAACATTACCCCTTATTAAACATTATCAAAAAAAATAAACTGCTGTATGTTTAGGAAATGCATGTGTTTGATTCAGAGTAAAAGTGTGTAATTTAAACAGACACTGATTTGAAGTTTGACGACTTCTCACCCTCTTGCTGCTGCATTTTCAGGCCCTGCTGTGCCTCTGTGTGCAGGTCCAACACATATTTAGGCCGATTACCCTCCACAAACACATTTTCTTGGAACTCCTGAAGAGAAATAGCTCCCACAACTTCCTCTTTAGGGCCTGCAGAGAGATAAACATAAATAATTACCTTTAATATTTCATATATATTCAGATGACAGACAAATACAGTATAGGATGTTTCTTTTTTTTTTTAGATTTGTTTTTGGAATTTTGCCTTTATTTTAGATAGGACAGTGTAATGACAGGAAGCAAAGTGGGAGAGAGAGAGAGAGAGGGAGAGAGAGGGAGGGAGAGGGAGAGAGGTGGCGGGATCGGGAAAGGTTCACGAGCCGGGATTTGAACTTGTGACACCCAAAGTGCTACGGCACTATGTTGATGTGCCCTCAAGGCTATTGGCACTGACCGTATAGGATGGTTTAAATGTACAGGACTTGGATATTTTAAAAAGTACACACACAGAAAAATGCATGCAAGCAAATAATATAGCAATATATCTGATCTAAGATAGCTCCGTTTCAGTAACGGTGAATGTAAAATCAATTACCTCATTCACTAGGTTTCTCCCGTGTTTTAATACCACATCCTATTATGTCACTTGATTACTAAAGAGACAGACTGTTTAATAATGACTAATTTTAGAGTGAAGAGCTTCACTAACTAACAGTATTTGGAGAGCTTTAGTAGTCCTGATCCAGATAAATATCTGATAACACATGGGCTAAAATACTCCAGAAATGAATATAGCAATATATCTGATCTAAGATAGCTCAGTTTCAGTAACGGTGAATGTAAAATCAATTACCTCATTCACTAGGTTTCTCCCGTGTTTTAATACCACATCCTATTATGTCACTTGATTACTAAAGAGACAGACTGTTTAATAATGACTAATTTTAGAGTGAAGAGCTTCACTAACTAACAGTATTTGGAGAGCTTTAGTAGTCCTGATCCAGATAAATATCTGATAACACATGGGCTAAAATACTCCAGAAATGAATGAATTTCAAGAGTAAACCAATGTAGTACAAAAGCTAGACCAAGAGTGTAACTGCAGAAAAAAAGTAGTTATGGATTATGTACCGTTTCTTAAGGTTCTTGATTGTAGTAAACAGACTTCACTGAATATGAAGCTAATGAATATGAAAATAATTTTCTTAAAGCTTTGAATAAAGTTTCTCAGTCGTTTAGACTATATCTATGACACTTTTTTTGTCACCTTTGCACAACACTGTGTCTTAAAATTCCTTTTGTGTTTCATGGAAGAAAAAAATACAAGGGTTGATTAAATGACTGGGTGAACTATTCCTTTAAAAGGAACACTCCGCTATTTTTGAAAACAGGCTCATTTTCCAACTCCCCTAGAGTTAAACAGTTGAGTTTTACCGTTTTCGAATCCATTCAGCCGATCTCCGGGTCTGGCGGTAGCACTTTTAGCTGCAGCTTAGCATAGATCATTGAATCTGATTAGACCATCTCGCTCAAAAATGACCAAAGAGTTTCTATATTTTTCCTATTTAAAACTTGACTCTTCTGTAGTTACATCGTGTATTAAGACCAACGGAAAATGAAAAGTTGTGATTTTCGATTTTGCAGCAGGCGCAATATTACGCAGTGCCTGAAAATAGTCCCCAGCACGCTCCCTGTGCAAGCAGGTGGTCACGTTGGTTATGTTGACGGAAATTAGCCTATTTTCAATCGCAACTTTTCATTTTCCATCGGTCTTAGTACACGATGTAACTACAGAAGAGTCAAGTTTTAAATAGGAAAAATATCAAAACTCTTTAGTCATTTTTGAGCGAGATGCTCTAATGGTCTAATCAGATTCAATGATCTATGCTAAGCTGCAGCTAAAAGTGCTACCACCAGACCTGGAGATCAGCTGAATGGATTCGAAAACGGTAAAACTCAACCGTTTAACTGTAGGGGAGTTGGAAAATTAACCCGGTTTCAAAAATAGTGGAGTGTTCCTTTAAGACCTTCCTTTCAACCAGTTCACTTTCTCACCACTAGATAGAGTAGGAAAACAAAGGAACTGTGAGGTCACAGGTATGCTTAAGGGGAAACTTGTTGCTCAACCTGAAGAACAAAAGACAAATGTTCCTTTTTATAAACTAGTAGTAAAACAACAAATAGCAATTATTTATCCTTGCAGAGAGTTGTGTAACAGCTCTACATTTGAGACAGTCTGACACTTCACACATTTCTCTTTAATACTGCATTTACATTATTCATTTCTAGTTGATCTCTGCAGCGAGGACTTCAGCAGGATTGCTAAAAACCAACCTCAGTCCATCTCCATCTCAATGTTCCTCTAAACCAGGCCAGACATGTCCTACAGCCTAGAAAGCCCAGTCCATTCATTTATCACATCATCCAACTTCATTAATCATGACAAGAGAAGACAACCTGTAAGATGATACATGATATGATGCTACAATGATATTTAAAAGTTTTGTTCTTTACATTCACAAATTCTTTCAACTGGGAATACATGCCTTCTAGAACTACAAAGTTAAAGAACCAAAAAATAAAGAAGAATGAACAAAACAAAAATCAAAGCATGATAGAAAGGGAAGGAAAGTGAAACTTTTCTCTGACCGTTGATATTTCTGTGCCTTGGAGTACTTGGTTTGTCTTACTAGTGATATATGTGTGTGTCTTTAGATACAGATATCCAAACCACAGATAAAATGTTCCTAGCAATGGTCTTAAACAATTAAAATAGTTGAACAACCACAGAGGTCAGCTTTTCAACCCTGAGGAACATACTGTATAATAAAGCAAAGAGAAATGGCTTTCACAAGCATGATGTCCTCTCACTTTTAGAAACCGGCAGCAATACAATGACATGAATGTTCCGTATTTATGGCAGAAAACATGCTGTATAAGCTCCAGTCCAGAAAGACAATATTAAATCAATTTAAAAAAATTAAAAAAAAGACTCGAAACCCAAATTATTTACATGACCACCCACATTTGCATGCCAATGAATTATTAATGCTGCAATAATACAGAATTGTGCAGTCTCAGGTGAGCATTTATCAACATTTTACAATTCTGAACATGGCTTATCCATTCAAAATTTAGAATAATTTGTATTACAAAACAACATTAGTGATACAAATCTGATATGAAAGCTCTAATCTGATAGTAAATACTCCTCCTTGTAGGCGTGTAAGTGCATGTATGTGTGCATAGAATATTGTGGTGATGTCTAAAGGTTGTATAATCTGTACCATGACTTAAATCATCTTTGAATGTATTCTCAGAAGTTCAGAGACTTTCTAAAAATGTATAACCTTCTAAGAAAGCCAAATAAAAGCAGCACAGAATGAGAAAGGCTAAGGCATGCCTGGACCTGCTGAGGACAGATCTGCTGACAGAACAGCTGCAAGGAGTCTGAAACAGGATAAAACTCACAGAGACTCCCTGAACAGCTTTAACTTTACAATCAAACTAAACCTAATTTGAAGCAAAACCATTCAAAAACAAAACAACAGGAAAACATCAGCTTATCTCGGTTCTGTTAAAAACCTTGAGTTTGTCGCAATGAGAGACTTTATTGGCATGTAACGCTGCTGTCCTTTAGAGTAGATTTAATAAAGGTTATTAAACATTTAATCAGTAAAGTCAAACCAAAGGTGAAGAGACTGAGAGGCGAGAGAATGAAAGAGGAACACAATGTGCTAAAGTGAATGATAGAGATTAGCAATGTAAACACACACAGTGTAGTTCTCATCACTGGCAGCTAGATCCCACAGGCAATGTGTGTGCTGCCAGGACTGCCCTGCCTTGACAGTAGCTGCTGTGTTGCATCTGGGCAGTAGGGGGCAGCACTTTGGGGCTGTTTTCATGTCATACAAAAAAGACTACTCTCAGTTTTCATTGTATAAAGTCAGCAGATGTATTCCAGTCTTTTTCTCATATCTCACAATGAGGTATACATTGAGCTTTTATAAGTACATTTTGAGCTTTCATGTTATAAATATAAAATATTCATATGGAAGTGTTACATATACGATTTATGATTTAGCAAGAAAATGTAGTAAATTATTAATATAATTTTAGCCTATTTTCAATCGCAACTTTTCATTTTCCATCGGTCTTAGTACACGATGTAACTACAGAAGAGTCAAGTTTTAAATAGGAAAAATATCAAAACTCTTTAGTCATTTTTGAGCGAGATGCTCTAATGGTCTAATCAGATTCAATGATCTATGCTAAGCTGCAGCTAAAAGTGCTACCACCAGACCTGGAGATCAGCTGAATGGATTCGAAAACGGTAAAACTCAACCGTTTAACTGTAGGGGAGTTGGAAAATTAACCCGGTTTCAAAAATAGTGGAGTGTTCCTTTAAGACCTTCCTTTCAACCAGTTCACTTTCTCACCACTAGATAGAGTAGGAAAACAAAGGAACTGTGAGGTCACAGGTATGCTTAAGGGGAAACTTGTTGCTCAACCTGAAGAACAAAAGACAAATGTTCCTTTTTATAAACTAGTAGTAAAACAACAAATAGCAATTATTTATCCTTGCAGAGAGTTGTGTAACAGCTCTACATTTGAGACAGTCTGACACTTCACACATTTCTCTTTAATACTGCATTTACATTATTCATTTCTAGTTGATCTCTGCAGCGAGGACTTCAGCAGGATTGCTAAAAACCAACCTCAGTCCATCTCCATCTCAATGTTCCTCTAAACCAGGCCAGACATGTCCTACAGCCTAGAAAGCCCAGTCCATTCATTTATCACATCATCCAACTTCATTAATCATGACAAGAGAAGACAACCTGTAAGATGATACATGATATGATGCTACAATGATATTTAAAAGTTTTGTTCTTTACATTCACAAATTCTTTCAACTGGGAATACATGCCTTCTAGAACTACAAAGTTAAAGAACCAAAAAATAAAGAAGAATGAACAAAACAAAAATCAAAGCATGATAGAAAGGGAAGGAAAGTGAAACTTTTCTCTGACCGTTGATATTTCTGTGCCTTGGAGTACTTGGTTTGTCTTACTAGTGATATATGTGTGTGTCTTTAGATACAGATATCCAAACCACAGATAAAATGTTCCTAGCAATGGTCTTAAACA